ACACACACACACACACACACACACACACACACACACACACACACACAAAAGACGTCTATCGCATTTAGAAAATTTATGAATTGAATGAATGCGCCATGAACGTGCATCTAAAAATACAAAGCAATGTGTAATCAGTCAGCGACCGACGAATCAGTTTTTATTTAATCGAGTAATTGAGAAAAAAAACAAAAGGAAACGCGCAAACACACTCCATTCCCACATTAATCCTTATCGACTCGCCTCCGTGATAACGAAAAACAATTTCATCAAGTATTGAGAAAAAGCAGAAAAAATGAAAACGAATAAACAAAAATACTGACTGAATAGAAATCGACACCGTACTCAGAAACTCATTGTGCCCGCTGATGTTTTTTCTCTCTGTCTCTCTCGTCTTCATTCCTTTGCTTTTATGATGGTGATTTGAATAATCATGGAAATTCTTTGTCGCATTTCTTCATAAATGAATAAAAAAATAACACAAATGATTACGATTCTAAGAATCGGCCCAGAATAGCGCGGTAAGCAATCAAGAAAATGAGGGCGAGCGTAGAATCTTGCCTGTGGAATTATTATGACAATATTTATATCCTCTATCTGGCTATAACCACAAAAGCTAAATGCCGTGTATTTCCTCATGCAATTCACTTCTAATGATAATTAAATCCAGCTTTACTATGTCGATCTCTATGGAAACTGCGTCATTCTACTGATAATCAATTCCCATTCGTCAAATGTTGAATCGGTTTAACGGGCTATTCATATGTTCATTTTTGCATTTGGGTTTTTTTTTTCTCATTGGTTTGCGGCTAAAAATAGCCGCTTCGATTTCGCGCAATTGATAAAAATAGCAAGTTGTTTCGTTGCAACGACACAGAAAAAAGTATAAATTGTAAGTGCCTTCTCATAGATGTAGGTTATGTTCATTGTCATGGACAGAGTTGCGACCGTGCCCAAGGTGGTTTGAATTTCATTACTGATTATATTTTCGTTTTCTTCGCATAAATATAAAATCAGACGAAAACCTGTCGAACCCAAGATCCACACATGAAGTGTGATTCGATTCGTACACGTCATTCGTTCCAATCGAATAGACGGAAAGAAAAGACGAAGAAGAAGCTCACAGAACAATCGACGAAAATGCAAATAAGCTGGGACAAAAAGGACGATCGAAAGGTGAAACCAGACATCGAGCTTATAATTTCGAAATTAAGACATCGCAATACAATAAGCCGAATCCAAATTGATTAACGACACGAAATTGCACGAGCTTGATTTAATTACAAATCATTATTGCAACAGAAAAAAATTTTTATGACACAATCAATTCTTTTTTGTTGGAAATAATTGCGATTTTATCACGGGAAAATGGCTCATCATTTGCTACTTAAAATAAAAAAAAATTGAGTAAATGCGAGCCACCAAATCGCAAAAATTTGCCGTAATTCTACGAAATTCGTTATTGGATGCTGCCTGCTATATGATGATGATTACACGGCTTGTTATTTTAACCGAGCGGCGTGTGTATGGGTTCGCCCGAAAAAGATCGTTGCACGCGCAAAACAAAAACAAGCATAGCCGAACTCATCTTGACTTGGAAAGGTCGGTATTCTCTAAAAATATACGTATGTGCTGTGCACGGCACAAGGCACAGCAGCAGAAAGAGCGGTGCAGAGAGCACGGAGAGTGCGGCAGCAGCAGCAGCTAACAACAGCGACAGCGACAACGACGATGACGATAAATTCCAAATCGAGTGTGTTATTGTTTGCTTTTTGCCGGCCTTAGTGCGCGACTGTGTGTGAGAGAGCGAGATACAGAAGGCGAGCGAGTTCAGTTGGATGCGTGTAGCAGTGTGCATCGCATATTGCCTTACACGTGGAGGCGATTCATCGGTTTTTGACACCGAATCGTGCTGTAGAACATTCGACAAACGGCAGCAACAGCAGCGACGACAACGACGACGGCGACAGCGGCAGCAGCAGTAGCACCACAACATTCGCGCACATACACATCGGCATATCGTCATGAGTCGGCAAACGCCTGTTATACTTACGCTGCAAAATATGTTCATATGTCGTATGCGCTTTCGCTCAATCGCTGTGTGTATATGACTGTGCTGCTATACTATGCCACTTGATAGCTGTATATATATTACTTATTATCAGCACAAAAATATCCATCGAGTCGAGCTTGTTTGTTTGGGTTCTACATCGCATTAAACGACACCGACAATGACGACGAGGACGACGACTGCGGCGGATGAGCAACAAATCGACTCTATTACATGATCTACTCCATGTTATCTAACAATGAAAACGCAAGTTTTTTTTACATATTGTGACTATGTGATATTTATTTTCTCGGCAATTATAAAATCACATACATTTCTATCTTAATGCGATACTCGTGCCGAACTGCCAATGTGTGTGGCTGGGTCATCATTGTTATTGTGTTGTTTTTTTTTTCCACACTCTCATTCAATTTAATTGAACAGTTTCTACATATTAATTTGTTTAGCTGCCAAGCAACACCCTTGATGGTGTGTGTGTGTGTTTATTGCGGTTTTACACGAAGAAAAAACCAGATGTGTGTGATTCGACAAACGTGAAACGCGGTAAACGAGATAGAGAGAGAGAACGATAACGAAGATTGTTTTTTTTTTCTGTCAGTTTGCTCGCATGCTTGCTTCGCGAGGCGATTCATCAGTTTTTTTTCTTCTCTCACTCGTTTCACACCGTGTTCAGTCGGTATGAATATATATTTTGTTTATTCTAAGAAAGAAAAAAAAAAGAATAACAGAATTCACATTTTTTTTCCTCACTTTTATGACTTCGGTTGTTATTATCGTGAGTTCTCATTTCACGGAGATTCTCTGCGCAATTTAGTTTTATCTGTTTATTAATTTTTTATCGAAATGATATCGCGCGGTAGCATTGAATTGTCGTGTTTTTTGTTGTTGTTGGAAATAACCATTTTTGAAATGAGTGTTTTTTCAGTTTGGCTATTACATGCATCATAAAATCATTGCGCTTTATTGAAAACCCATTTCCAACTGCATACACGCGACACTCGTCGTTGATTGTGTGTACCTTTTTTCGCATTGATTATGTAAATAGGCTCAATTATGCTCTTTGTACAGTGTTTAGCCTTTTTATTGTCCAACCCATAAAAAACTACAGAAATAATAATGCGTGCGGATCGACTGTAAAACTCATGACCTACGTCAAGTTTCTTCTATTAATTTTAAAATCCAAAATGTGAAACGAATATCACAAATGAAAATGAGGCTTCAACGGACGATTCGACGTGTGATTCGTTCTTCTTTTTCTTCTGGTATTTAAGGTTCGCCTTGTTTCTTCTGTTTTATGGTCTTTGGTTACACGTGCATCGCGTATTGTATATATATAAATGGATGCGTTGCATTCGAAAACGATGTACAAGCAACGGTTCTTCGTGAGCCTCCTACTCAAGTGTGTGTTCATTGACCCCTAGGAGAAAAAGATCATTAAAATTTTCGGCAGTTTCTCTGCTTCTTCTCTATTGTGCGTTCCGTTCGATAGCTATCGTTGATGCGTCGTTGCATCGCATTGTGAGAAAGAAGAAACAAACAAAAATCCGGAGATTTCTATTGTGATTCTCTTGAATGCAGTGAACCGTTCGAATAATATGTTCTATTCGATGTTTTTTGTTGAATGTTCTATGCCAAAAGGGAATGAATATGATTTTGCGACATTTTAATAGCGCACCACATGTGTGTGATGGCAAAAAATACGGCAAAGATAAAATCAAATTACGAATTCGTCATCGTTTTGCACAACATTTCTCTTGCATGACACGCGTACATGGAGTCGCAAACATGTGATAAATTATTATGATATCATTGTATTAAAAATAAACAAAAAATATTGATAGCTCTCGCTGCGGGTTGTTTAGTATTGAGCATGTCTGTTTTTTTTTTTAATATGAATTTTCGAAATAGCGATTGACTCATAAATTGGCCGATTGGCACAAACAAAAACTTAAAAGACTCGAACCATCGAGTCACATTGTTCCAGCGAAAATGAGCTGAGATGTTTTTTTTTCATCTGTCAGATGGTTCAATTATAATGAGTTGGGTTGTTTGCATCATTTTCAATGGAACTGTGAGGTTCGGTGGAAAAATCGGCCAGAGGACGAATCATTCGAACCGGGTGAGTTACCAAATGTCAGCGTTAATCAACATACACTGTACAAAAACAATGCCGAAAAGCAACGCTAACAAGCCAAACGGGTTTTCTATTTCAATTTCTAGTTTCATACTATCAATTCGAGACAAGTTTCAGTTTGCTTGATGGATTGAGAGCACATATGTACGAATGTGTTTATTAAATTGAGCTGATGCATCATTGCTTTGAGGAAAGAGAAACAATGAACACGAGCGCGCGCACGACCAATATCAATATTATTCCGTTGATGGTTACAACAAGCGGCTCGAATGACCGATCACAAAAGTAGTCGAATGCAAACGACTCATTGGAAATGCGTACAGCGAACGAAACGAATAACTATTGGGTGATTCAACTGCATCAAACACAGAAAAAAAGCAATTTGATAGCGAATGGCTACATTTCTCCAGGCCTTACGACAACCGAAAAAAAAACACACACACACACACAATACGAATGCAAACGCACCGTTTTTATTCTGCGTATTAAGAAGAGCGGAGTGTGAGACTCCGCTTGTGCAGCGAACCATAGGGATAGTGAGAGAGCGAAGTGAATAACGAACATTAGACAAAGCAATAGAAACTCCGAAAATTGTGTGGATAAAGAAATAACGTTGAATACATTATGGCTTCGAGCGCAGTGACGAGGAGGACCATAGCAGTCGTTATATGTTGTGCGCTGCACACGCACAATACGCACATATTTCGGGTATTTGAATACGCTCTGGATATACTCGATATTATTTCGGGAGAACGGGAATGTGCCTGCCTGCCCGTGTTATTTGTACAATATTTCGATGTCTTTCTCTCACTAAATCGATGTCATGCGTTCATTGCCTTTTCACTTCAACGCTGTTGTGTTGCGTATTTTTCGGCATTAGAATTGTTGTTGCTTCTTCTTCTTTTCGCTCAGCCTGTACCCAATTTTTCGGGAATCAAAGCGAGGAAAGTGCGTGAACACACACACACACACTTGGTTACTATTTGTAACATGCGTACATAGGCACACTCAGAATTCTTCCGTTTCTACTCACTCACACTCTCTCTGTATGTATGTTTTCTGAATGTTGCTGTTGTTGTTTCGGGTGGCGATACGATGCGTTCCAAACCGTGTTCTATGTATAATATTTTATGGAAATGTGCGTTTCAAAAAATGGGAGCATTAAATATATAAACGCATAATCGGTGAGAGTGTGCGGCCGCAGGCAGGCACATTGATACAGGAATTGAGAGTGTTCAAAACATTGCACACGATTTTGAAACAAACAGTTGATATTGAACTTGCAACGAGACAAGACCGACTATCGTGCATCATCTTCTCCAACACAACAAATCACAATCAGCTTTATTTTTTTTTCTAACTGTGAAATTATAGACACTTTTTAGTGGACACAAGAAACAACAAAAACAACAAAAGCAAAGAACGAAAAACCCACCGAAAACGCATTCACGATTATGTGAGGCAACGTCAATATATAGTACAAATCTACAACACAACTGAAACTTAGTACAACAACACATAATGTTAATTATTTGATATTTTGATGAAATTTGTTTTTCTACGGCCATCGTTGTATTTTTTTTCTTCATAAAGTGTAACTAATAACTCAATGAATTCTGTTTACGTTTTGCTTCTTCTTTTTTTTACACGGTCGTGCATTTATTAATCAAGTGTTATTCATTTTTGATTGCGACGTGTGTTTGTGTGTGATGTGTTTATGAATTAAATGTGAATTTTTCACGGAAGCAAAAAAAATCGGACTGAATTTTTAGTTCGCTCTTCACAATTGAACATTGACAATACAATGACATAAATCGAACTATATTTATCCACGTTCGGATATTTACGGGTATTTTTTACAAGAAAAAAAAAAATAAAACAAAAGTTTTCCAATCCAAAGACTGTTTGCGGAGTATTTTTTACTAGTTTAATTAGTGTAACGTGAAGTTTTTTTCTTCGGACAAAAAAACGACTTTTTTCATAAATAAAAAAAAAGTCACCCAAAATTCAATTAAAATACGTCAAGGTTCCGTCATTTTATCATTGATAATGAGTGCACGCAACAAGCAAAACTGGATCAAAGACATTCTATCGAAATCAGGAACTGAAATAACCGCGATAAATGAGGATAAATCTGAAGGTTGGTTACCCACATTTCCACTGAATTTGTCGCCGCAATCGAGCGACTGTTTTTTTTTCTGTTTTAAAATTTCTCATTTTTTTCGACTTCCCCCGAAGAAAAAAAACGAAATAAAACACCATCGAATTGCCAGTTTAAAATTATGCCAATTCATTAATGAAAACCATTGCGTAACCCAAATGTTTTTTTTTTCCTGTGTAATTTGTTTTTCTCTCGCGTCATTTAGACTTTGTGCATTTCATTCATTAAACAAATTGTATATGGTTCGCTTATTTGTTCCGACACAAATGAAAAAAAAAAAAACATGAATTGGCCGTTATGAAAATAATGTTAACGTGGCCAAAATTGCTGTCCAAAACAGTACTAATAAAATGGAAAAATAAGAAATGGAGAAAAAGCAGTTGATCGATAGAACACAATAAAGTTCATTGAACAAAGGGCGATAGCCGGAATATATAGCCGTTATATCATCATCGCGTTGTTGCGCTTAGAAGCACAAAGTTTGAACTCCGAAAAATGGATGTTTGTGAATTTATCCCCTTTCACTTTCATCCACTGCGGGGGCCACATTCACGCATACCGAAATGCGATGGTGGTGGTGGTGCTATTGACGACGATGGCGACGACGACCAAAATGAATTTCATTCATGTGTTATGTTATTTTCTCGTATTGCTTTGGCAAACAGTGCATACTTATCGGTTACACACTGCTTTCTTCACCCTCCTCGTATTTTTCGGCTCGTTTCGTTATCACACTCGATTGGAGTAAGAGAGTGAGTAAGCGAGCGAGCTAGCGACTGAGCGAGTATCCAATTCCACACGCATATTGCGGGAGTGTGTACGTGACAACTCAAGTATGCTTTTGAATGTATTGTATTTTCCGCATTTTCCATGTTTATTTCTTCTGGCCAATCCAATTGTTGGCTGTTTCGACTGAATCACTTTCGTTTTCTCTTTGCCATGTACTCACATTTTCACTAGAGCAAATGCGCTCGCTTTCCGTTTCGCTTACGCATAAAGCTTCAAGAGCTTAGACTAAACAAAAATGGACGATGAAAGCGTCGCCACATAGAACGCTCTAGAATATTGAAATCGAATGTTTTCGAACGAATCTCTTTTATGGCGCATCCAAATTGTATATGAGTTAAATGGAACGTTGTTGATTTTACAAGTTAAATTTAAAACAGTTGGGCTTTAGAATGATTTTTGGCTTTGGTACAGAGAGTTATTTTGTATTTTGTATTTTGAAGAGAAGATTTTATTTGAAATAAAAAATAGATTATTTTTGATTAATCTAAAATCGATTCAAGATTTTATAATATTAATTTAATTTTGATTTAGGTAACAAATTAATGTTAATTCAAATCGAACAAAGTTATGCTTTTCTTTACTTAAATCAAATTTTCAATTTCTCCCAAATCGCCCAATAGGTGAAACGACAAAAAACGACATGGTTTACTACACATCAATTCCAATGATGCCAACCGACCATCATTCGGTGAATGGTGGTGATTTGCGTCAACTAACGAATCTATCAAGCAATAATCAGAACGAAACACAATTGTACAACATAAGTAGTAGCAATATGACTGATCCGAAACTGATGGGCGATTCGCCCAAAACCATGATCACACTCACAAATGTAACGCGAGCAGCGCAACAACAACAGCAGCAGCAGCAGCAGCAACATGCGACTCCAATCTCAACCACAACGAATGGCAATTCTACGAAGCAACAATTCAAATGCGAGCAATGCAATATGTTTTTCGGCAGCAAAAGTGCACACACCAGCCACATGAAATCGCATGGAAAAACGAACGGGACTCGTGCAAATGGATCAAATGGAACGTCGACCAATCCAAGTGAGCCCCATCAGTGTGATGTGTGCAAGAAAACATTCGCGGTGCCAGCACGATTGGTTCGTCACTATCGCACCCATACCGGTGAGCGGCCGTTCGAATGTGAATTTTGCCACAAGATGTTCAGTGTGAAGGAAAATCTGCAAGTGCATCGACGCATTCATACTAAAGAACGCCCGTACAAATGCGACCGGTGCGGACGTGCATTTGAGCACAGCGGCAAATTGCATCGTCACATGCGTATCCACACAGGAGAACGACCACATAAATGTTCCGTGTGCTCAAAGACATTCATCCAATCAGGCCAACTCGTTATCCACATGCGAACACACACAGGTAACCACACATTAAGCACTCTCAATTCAAGTAGATTATAATAACCACTAGCATAGCATATAGTTTACATTGGCACAGCAATCGCAAGCATGCTTGTCACTGTTGTGAGTTGAAAGTTTAAGTGTGAAAATTGCTTTCTTTTGTAGGTGAGAAACCGTACAAGTGTCCAGTTGAAGGATGTGGCAAAGGATTCACATGCTCGAAACAATTGAAAGTTCATTCGCGTACACACACCGGCGAAAAGCCATACCATTGCGATATTTGCTTCAGAGATTTTGGCTACAATCACGTGTTGAAGTTGCATCGAGTTCAACATTATGGCTCGAAGTGTTACAAGTGCACCATTTGCGATGAAACATTCAAAAGTAAGAAAGAAATGGAAGCACACATCAAAGGTCATGCCAAGGATTTGCCCGATGATGAGCCAGCGGAGACAGCGACCGAAGCCGTTGCAAAATCTGAACCGGTGAAGGTGGAACAATTAGCACCAGCCATGGATGTAACGCAGACAATAAGAGCTTCACCCACCTCAACCATGCCAATGCTTTCACCATCGCCAAACAGTAACATTAGTGCGTCAAATATGTCAGCGTTGCCAACGCCACGCGACTCGAGCTCAGACACACATTCCGATGGCGATGAAATGTCCTACTATACCAACATTTTCACACGCTTCGATCAAAAAGCATCAAACAACGAATACAAAGTGCAATCACACGGTGGTGGTGGAGTGAATCCAGCCCTTTTGGCCGCTGTTTCTATTGCTGCCTCACAAAATGAAGCAGATGATTTGACAACGCTTCGCACCCACTTGCCAGTCTCGTCTGCGACGAGCTCAGCAACAAACGCATTACTGGCGGCGGTGAACGAACAGGAAACAGCCATTGATCACAGCTTCATCTATGAACCACTCGCTGTTATGCATCAACAAGGCTATTTCAATCCAGCACCACGAGTCGGTGAATTCAAGTAAGTTGTTTTTTTGTTGGTTTTTTTGCCGAAGTAAAAACTTCGACTTTTGAAGCTTTGACAAGTTTAGGGCAAAACAGAGAGACTTTTTTCTTTCTTAGAAAGAATTTTTTTCAGTACACACATTTCATGTGTTTTAATTTCTTTTTTATTGGCTTATCTGAAAACATAAAGAACAGATTTCATTTACGTTCCGATTGTGGTTTCAACAAAATGTGGTTAATCTTCTCTCTTTCTTCATCAGATCATCGATTCATGCATCAAATGACATTGTAAAGCGTGTTGAAGCCGCTTTGGCCAGTGCCGCCGAATTGACGCCACCACGTTCGAGTCCCGAATCACCAGATCGTTCATCATCGCCGGACAGTGATGTCGTAATGGCCGATCGTGATGTGATGAGCCTTCCGTTACGAAAGCGTAAAAACTACCCAAGAGATGGTCAAGGTGCAGGTGGCCAAGGAGACGATGGTCAACCGGCACAAATTATGCGCATGAGTTCGGTTATTCAATTCGCAAAAGCATCATAATCTTATTGAGATTACATTTTGGATTACAATAAAAATTATCGGAAAAATTCTAATCGATTTACATATTGAAATGAATCGCATCAGTAAATTTAACCAAAATTTCGCCATCGTTTGAAACTACGATTGAACTGTATTTATTTAAAAAAACAAAGGAAAAATTACTTTTCTCCACATTTGATAAAATATTTAAAGAAAAGAATGAAACATTTTTACTTTTTATTGGTAGAGCGAAACAAGTCGAGGTTTTTTCTCGTATCTTTTCTAAATGATCGAAATGAATCTTATTTTTGAGAGAGCCAATTAGTAGAAAAAATATCGGAAACATTTTATTATCGTAGTGGAATCTTTGTCTCTTTTCTTGAAAAAAAATAAACCGAAGATAATCAATCACAAGGAGCAAAAAATTGGAAGAAAAAAACCTTTTTTTTTTAATCCGAAGAAAAAGATAGAAAAATTGTGTTATTTTTTTCGATGAAACAAAGTAAGAGGAAAACATTTCTAACAGAAACGATATTTTGAAGTATGCAAAATCCCACGTAATTGAAAAATTTGTAGCCAATTAAGAATGAAATAAACACTCCCGATTTGAAAGAAAAAGTATTTTATAGGCTTATGGAATAGAATAGTGAAAAAAAAACGTTTTTTATGATAAAAAAAAGAAGAAGAAAAAAAAATTGTGAAGACTGTCTCAGGAAAATGGCCAGAATAATTAAAACGTAATTTTTACATTAAGCCGAAGTGAAGAAGAAATAAGTTGATAGTTTAATTGAATTGTTATTTCTCCTTTTTGTTCTCAATATCAGCAATGCGCATTGGTTTCCTTTTTTTCGTCCTCATCCTTATTCTTTTCTGTTTTGTTATTTGTCGTTGCGCCGCTGTAGAGATGGCTCTTCCTCTGGAGCGGTGTGCATTTAAAATTAGCTGAATTGATTCCTTTTGTATCAGAGATTGCTTTGTTTTCCATTGTAACGTAAAAATTTTGCGTATTTTTTACACCATAATATCATTAAATCAATTGAAATATTTTTTAAACATAAAGTGAATGAAAGTTAGGTGAAATTGATTCACGATTGTGGCCTATGAATGATAAACACACACATACATACATATACATACATACACACATGCAAAATGGAAACTTGTCTTGCTTTGTTTTTCGATGCAAAACCTGAGAGAGAGAAAGAGCATTGAACGAGTGTGTTTTATACACCACGCATGGGTTTTCCCTAAATTACAAAAAAAAAAAAACGACAACAACAACTAAAAGAACACGATTAAGACGGATTGAGTCTTGATTGGTTATCCTGTACTGTTAATCATAAGACTGTTCTAGAAGCGATAAACAAAACAATATAACATTTTAGCCCGTAATATATACTTTACATGAGATAATAAGGTTTTAAGAGTAAGAATAACATGTTTTTTCTTTGCGTCAAATATCACGAGTGAACAATTTTTTTTAGGGAGACAGTCAAAATGATGGATAATGAGCTGTGGTAACATCTCAATTTCAAAACTTTCGAATTTTTCAACCTCCTCTATTATAATAATGATTTGCTCGGTATTTTTTGGTTTGCAATATATGATTTCATTGAAATTCAGGGATTTTTTTTAGATGACAAAAACAAAATAAAATGTGGGAGCATATTTTCTTTTATTGCTTTAGATTGAACTGCTTACTTACCATGAGCATACAAAAGAGATTGCAAAATTACAAAAAAAAAAAAATGTATTGAACATGCAACGAAATGACAAATTCTGATAAATTATCATTTCGTTGGCATTTGCAGAAGAAAAACCAAACAAATTGATGATTTTGACTTAATTTTTGAATGCAACAAAAATAATTATGACTGAGCGAATGCCTCCTCTACATGAACACTGTACAACATGAGGATGGCAAGAAAATCAATCAATTATGAGCAATTCAGAATAAACAAAAAAAGAAAACATACGATTTCATTTAATTAATACAACGTTTGCGCTTGTAACATATTTTCGAAAATATTATAACTTATTGCTTTCGATCCTAATCAAATCTACTAATACTAATTGGCGTGACATAAAAAAAAAACTAAATTTCAAACAAACAAAAAAAGAACCAAAAAAAAAATTGTGTTGTGTATTTATTTTCGACATTCGATTTTTGACTCCATTCTATTATCTCTCTCGCAATACAAAGTGTCAAATTGATTTACTTTCATTTAACCTCTTTATTATTATGCCCATTTGTTCTCTAGTTCATCTCAAGTTTTTACACTGATACACTGAACTATTGACATTGGTCCGGACACAACAAACGTCATCATTAGTTTTTTATTCGGTCTTTTTTTTATTTAAGCAAATTCTGTCGATTTTAGCCAATATGTTTAATTCAGTGTTTAAGTTAAAGTTTTAGTTCTTTTATTTCTTTGTCGAATTGGTAGCTAATGTTTCATTAACTACAATCATATTGAGATGAACGTATTTTACGTATATTTGATAAAAATAAATGCAAAATTGAAAACACAAACTTGACGTATTTCATTTTGGATGTATGGAACATTTTGCTTTACAGCTAAAAATATTTAAAAAAAAAAAAACGCATTTTAGCTAGATTTGGATAAACTCAGAAAATATGAAATGGAACTGTAAATTGAAAATATATATGCGATTTTTAATAATCATTGAGCAAGTATTTTCCAATACTTGATCCAATTCAGATTGGATTGGATTGGATGCAAAGCTTATGCATTTGCAGTCGATTACGAAAATGCTGATTGAAATAATAAAAACACAAAAATCGGCTCGTCGTTTGAATACCATTTTGGTTGATGTGTTTCCAATAAATGATGTATCGTTTTACTTAGCCAGTGCAAATAACAACGTTTCAGTCAAGTCACTGGACTTTTTTCTTCTGCTTTGCGATAAACGACACTTGTTTTTCTAAAATAATGACTGAATTTAAACAAAGTTTATCAATCAGAAAAATCTGCCAAGTGTGTATTTCAGTAATAAAGGCAATGAAGTAAAAAAACAATGAAGGCAATGAAGTAAACATACAAGCAAGCCCATATGCATTGAACTAGCATCAATTTTTGGCTTAGTTTGAGTGTATTTTGAATAGTAAACGTCAAACACACTTTCCGAATCTAGTTTAACATCTATTCTGCGTAATTTTCCACCGAAACAAAGTGTCATCGATGGATATTCGGCATGAATAGTTTGTGTGTGGAAATGATGAAATAAAAATTGGATATGATAGAAGATTTTGCTTGAAAATTTCGTATTTTCCGAGAGAAATTGATGTCATTGTCCTTCAGTCATTGGTCTTAAAATGAAACAATGAAATAAATTGGAATAAAGCCGATTTAAAGTAATTAGTAGAATTCAGCGCCACATTGCTGTCAACGGAAACATTCTCTATTGAGCTCCATACAATGTATGCTACCTATTATGTTTTGAATTATTAACAGCAGTTACATCAAACACATCATGA